GTTATTCTGACCTGATGTCACAGTAAAGCAACGACCTGAAGTTTTGCAAACCCAAACAAACATAGGGTGCTGTCTGCCTCTAGACGCCGTGCCCGAATACACTGTTGCCAAGCATCGTTCTTCGAATCTCGTTGTGGAGCACTAACTGACTGTCTTCCTGGGATCGGCATTAAAGCATCCGTGAAAATCCCTGCCAGCTTGTGTTTGGACCGCTTTTTCCACTCTCGCAGGTTCGAAAGATTTCAGCAAAGATGAAGTTTCGTCTGTTGGTTCCTTCAAGATAGATCGCAATCTCCATGACACAGTGTTCAAGAGTCTCCCGAGCAAGGCCCAACCCCGGGCGTATGATCTTTCCGCTTCCTAGATTCTGCGGCTCGTACTTACGTCCGAAACCGAAAACCCCTCCTAACCTAGAAGCCCGACCCCTTGAAGCCTGAAACCATACTATAGTTACAGTTCCGTCACCTGCATGCCTCAGAGCAATGATATGTCGGCCCCAGTTGACATTGCGCACCGCACTGCCAACCTGACCGCTTTGCCGGGCCCCGCGGGGTGCCCAAGTGAAGTTTAGCGAGATGCACCTGCTTCCATGCAAAGCATTCAGCAAGAGCCCAGCCTGAGCGTCATCACAGCATCAGTCCGGCCAACCTCCACCAAGAAGCACCGCAATGCTGGCATCATCCGCACCGACCCTGACAAAGAAGACCGCTCATCACGTGCATCATCAGCATCAGCTGCCCCGACCCTTGCGAAGAAACACGCCCAACCAGAGCATCATCCGCATCAGCCCCAACTCTCACAAAAGCGCACCCAGCCCGAATATCATCAGCATCAGTCATACGAACCCTCACAAAAACGCACGCCCAAGCCGAGTCATCAGCATCAGCTGCACCCGCCCTGGCAAAGAAGCACAGTGAAATAAGCATACCCCCACAAAGAAACACGCCCAACCCGAGCATCATCAGCACCAGCCGCATTGACCCTTACAAAGAAACACGCTCAGCCCGAGCATCATCAGCATCAGCCAAAAAGAACACCCCCAACCTGAGCATCATCAGCATCAGCCGCACCAACACTCACAAAGAAGCGTGCCCAAACGAGCATCATCATATCACCATCATTTGCACTCGCCCTCGCAAAGAAGCGCTCACAAAGCGAGCATCATCAGCATCAGCCGGGCCAACGTCCATCAAGAAGCACTGGCCAGACAAAGAGTGACACCCGATGCTGCAAGCAAGCTTCCAGAGCTTGCTTCGCGAGCTCTGGATCAGACATCTCCTGACACCAAGGCCAAGGCAGAGACGGATCCACCTAGACCTAGATTGCAAAGCGGTGCTGGGCCCTGCAAGCGCCTGGTCGGCCCTCGCAACCAAGCCCGTGCCCTCGTGGTAGTTTTTCACCTTCCGCGAAAACGGATCAGGGCATGCCGGGCTACATGGACTGACATGAACGAAAGATGCAAGAATCAATCTGAGCGTGTGAGCTTTCCAGTCCAAGAGACAGGGTCGAACGCTCTGAAGTCGGGTCGGTTGCCCACCTGGGCAGGTCAAATGTGAAACGACATCTGTACACTCAACAAGGTGCTGCTGCCGCGGCCAGATGCTGCCAGGAGACTATGGTTTTGTTGAAAGCTCCTGGGAAGCTCAAGTCCACGTGGCGCGGGCTCACAGCCCATATCCCCTGGACGCTGTTGACCTGCGACACGTCCTGGCACCCGGAGATCATGTCTTCGGATCCCCCGAGCATCTGTGCCCTACCACGAAAGCCAGCTGAGTTTGACTATGTTACTGGGGCGATGCATGCTTGAAAAAGCTTCGACGACTCTCGAACCTTGCGAGAAACTTGCGAAAGGACTTAAGCTTTTGGAATTCGATACTCCTCGTTCTGCTGATGCTGAAAGTTTCCAAATGCCTAACCCAAATGTCCTTCACTATCTCCTGGAAGAAGCCAAAGAGCGCCAACCTGGGACGACATTCAACCAAAGTGCAGCTTGGAATGCCCTGACTAACAGCAGCTGTACGATACAGTATCTGTCAGCTCCAATACACCCCCCCCCGCTAAAGGCTTAGTCTTGGAAGCCTTGTCAGCTGCTTGACAGCATGTGCTTGCATCCCAGAAGCTGGTTGTCAGAGTCGGACGTGTCCTGCCGCTCTGCATTACCCGTCGGTCTGGTAATTTTTTTGGCAGTTCCCCGACGGTGGTCTTTGAAGTAGGCCCCAAAAAACAACAGAAGGGACTGCCATGGGGCCTGGGTTTTTGCACACCCAGCGTTTTGCACTTTTTGCACTACTTGTTCGGTACTTGTCGTTCAGAGTTGCTTTGCATGCTTCGGAAGGCCCTCTGGACCCCTGGAAGTCCTGCAAGCCGTAGTTATAAGCACAAGCCTTACACCTTACACCCTAAACCTTCAGCAAAACCAAAAAAACCAAAAAAAACAAAAAAAACAAACAAACCAAAAAAACCAAAAAAAACAAAGATTTCCGCACTAGTCGGAATCCTTCAGACTAGGTCGGAAATCTTTGGATTTTTTGGTTTGTTTGTTTTTTTTGGTTTGTTTGGTTTTTTTGGTTTCCGCCACCGCTGACGTGCCCGGACAACCTTCCGCTGTGGCTGTTCTTTTGGGTGTAGGGTCTACGTAAACAAGACTACTGTCTAATCTATCTTATGTGATGCTTATAAGCAGTCCGGCTGCTAATGATTCCACGCAGGCTTTCTGCTTATAAGCAATCCGGCTGCTTATAAGCAGGCTGTCTGCCTATAAGCAATCCGGCTGCTTATAAGCAGGCTGTCTGCTTACAAGCAGGCCGGTTGCGGCCTTCTGCTTATTAGCCCTGCTTCTGCTTATAAGCAATATCCTGTTGTTTACAGGCACTCGGGGGCCGTATGAGTAGCTATTCTAACCCCACCCACGCGTGCGCCAGACACCAACCAAGACGGAGAACACGAGAACCCGCACCAATTGCACAAACATTACCGTAAATTTGATGACCTGTTGCATGTTTGATATGGAAGAACATGCCAAGCTTATCTAGCATACCACACGACCTGAATTTGTCATCATTTCCGGTTTCACGGTGTGTGCTAAGAATTCAATGGACCAAGCACCATGTAAACCATAGGGATATATCAAGGGGAGTCGCGAGGATGGAAGGCATCCAGATGGGCCTCGACCATAAGGAATCGTGGAGACTTATCTCTTGAACACGTGGTCATATACTGCCGCACCATGTCATAGAATAGATACCAGGTGCTAGAAAGTCCCTTCTACACGTGGAGTTTGCCTTTTTATACACACAAATATTGCAGACATACATGTAGATAAGTTATCTGACCATCTTCCATCTATCTATCTGCCTATCCATGTATCTATCCACCTATCTATTTGTCTACCCATCCATCTGCACATTCATATACATACTGGTCTCAGCATGGATGATGTCACCGACCTCTTAACCTGGCAACGTAGAGATATTGTAAAACCCTGATACAATCTATGACAGGATATGTTATGGCACCGCACAAGAAACAAAGCACACGTGTATAGTGTATATGTTTTCGCCGATTTGCAGAAATACCGTCTTGACACGGTCACATTAGCTGTGCGTTGTTGTGGGGCCCATTATAGCAAGTCATTGAGTAATGCGGCTGTATTGAGATATTGCAATAAACATTGAACTTAGTACTCACACGCCACAGCCTTCAACGAGTCAAGACATAGGGGAATCAGAACACGGAAAGTCGGCTCTGCCCCCGAGAGTACCGGGTGTTAAAAATGTAGAATACGCTGGAACGATGCAATAATTACTCATGTTTAATACTTCCTTTCATTTCGCTTACAAGCGCTGGCGTATCTGCCGTGCACTTCGTATTGAGGCAGTAGAGCGTACCATGGTAGTGCAAACACAGAAGCAGTGCATGCATAGGCTTGTGAGTGTATGTATCCCTGTATGAGCTAACGAAGGCATGCCCGGGTTTCTGTGTGCATCGTTAGTTACAGCGCCATAAAACCAGATGCGTATATATATATATATATATGTGTCCCCTACTGGCAGAAATATATACAGTTTTGCGATAGTCATTGGGGTTGCGGATTGGTCTGAAACGCCACAGAAGCAAGTCGTACTGACATGCTGAAATACTACAGTACAGACTCAACTGCGTAGTACTCTCGCAAACACACAGACCTTCAGCACCGAGTCAGGACATCAGGGGATCAGAACACGGCAAGTCGGCTCTGCACCTCAGAGTACCGGGTGTTAACACGGTAGGTTAACGTGTTAAAATAAGCTGGAATGATACATGAGGCAACTACTTAAATGATTTTTTCATTTCGCTTCGAAGCAGCTTAGTGGATTGTGGTGGTAGAGCATTCCACGGTAGTGCAAATATACAAAAACACATGTACGGGCTTTTGAGTTTATGCTTGCGTGCATGTGTATGTGTAAGAACAAACATGCCTCCGCATTCACGTATATATACATGCACATACGTACTGGATAATGTTACACTTTTGTGAACAGTAGCATGCGTAAATGCATCCGTGCATAGTACAATTCTATATGAGACCAAGATACACAGTACTCAAAAACACAGGCCCCATGGCAGGCCGCTCTCAAAAACAACCCCTCAGCCTGTTGGAACCTGAATCCCCAGGCGTTGGATCGATCTCAACAAGGTCAAACCTAGGTGATCTTGCTTCGGGCGCCTCTGTCGCCTAGAGATGGAATCTAGAGCTTGTCGGATCGATCATCGTCCTGTATCAACATCGGGAATGTTTTCCTGGCCATGGCTGGATAATGGATGGCGAATCCAGCCCCTAATCCTTCGACTCGCCCACAAGGGGCTGGCAAAACTTTCTTGAGCCGTCTGAGCATCAAGCACTGGTAATGCACTTCCCAACCTATGCATGCACTTCCCTCGCAGGCACTTCCAGTAAAATCGCGTGCCATTCGCATCCAAGTGGTCCCATCCCTGCACCCTTGCACCCTCGGAGGGATGACCTGCAGCACGGCTGCATAAACGAGCAGCCGTCCCAGGAGGCGCTCTTTCTGCTCTGTTGCCTACGAGAGGCTCTGCAGGGAGTTATGGCTGCAATACGACTGCGCCGACATAGCCTTCTATGACTCTCTATGGCTACGGTTATGGAGAGCCAGGTTAGTCTACAAAACCTCTCAACATCAGCTCTGAGGATCAGACGGTAGCCGACAAGGCAGACAGGACAGTACGCGTGGCCTTAAGCCCGGATTGAAGCTCAGAGGTCTGGTCCACGAGCTTCAGAACCTGGAAGCTCGAATGTTTCTCTGGAGCACCCATGTTCCAAATTCAAGGTGTCGCTTGCACGCAAGGATAGAGCATGCTAGAGCCATCAAGTCTGAAAACTACCCTCATGGTCTCCGGGCGAACACCAGTAAAGCTGTGTTTCTGCGTGCACAGCTGGGTTAGATGGGCTCATAGGGGACATTTTTGCTAGCTGGACCCAAATTCGAAACCTCCATTGGCGCCGGCAACTGCTGGGACCCCATGCCGTTGCGAGCTCGTCGGGAAATGCCTGCAGCACTTCCGCCAGGGCCAGACAGAAGCCCTGTCCTGGCTGCGCAAGTGCCGGAACGACGGTGTGTGGTAGAAAGTTGAGGCTGTGCTTCAGAGGTATCAAAGGCCCTCCTCCCGCCCCCCTCCAAAAAACATATGCTAAAAAGCAAAAAGAAGGCAAGGCAAGCCAATGGTTTAATGAGTTCCAGTCCCCTGGCATAGAATGCTCAACTCTTGACCAGGCGGCCGCGAGAGAAAGACTGATCCTGATGCCGGAATCCCGGAAGAGCCCAACGTTACTTGCAGACTCTGAAGTGCATCTCATATTGGAGATGTCCATTTGCTAGTTGGCCGGGCTGCTGCAGCATTGCCGAGAGGACTGCACCTGGGAGGCACGGCCAGAATTCTTTCCGTTTTGATTCAGCCGTCCTTTAGGAGAGACTGCCTTCCCTGGGCACATTCGGACGGTCCCTTTTTTCCTCTGCACTTCTGCTTGTTAGCTACTAGTTTGAGAAGCGAGGCGGAAACGACCACCACGTGGCTCGTCCCAGAACTAAGGCAGCAAACGCGCAGCTTAAACTCCACCGTGCTGTCGTCACCGGATACTGGCCCAACCTTTGTCTGTAGAAGCGCGCGCCGCATGGACGAGCCTACGAATGGAAAGACGCCACGCGATTCCCAGCGCACCTCCTTTGCATCTGTTGCCCACGAAGATTCCCCTAAATCTAAGTTCAGTTCTGCCAGATCTCTGAGCATTAGGTGCAGTAACCTCTGTCGGCCACATGTAAGGGAGATGCGTTCCAAGACTTTATGCCGGGAGTGCTGCCAAGCTTTCCAGGATTTGGAGGTTGGGCTACCGTTTTGACCTTGGCACTTGAGCTCTTCCGCAAACATAAGCAAACGTGGCATTTTACAGGCAGCATTTTAAGACCACGTGTTGAGAGATGATCAGGTGGTCGTGCCATCGTCATCTGATTACAAAGGGAGAAATCTATCTCGTGCGGTGGCAGGGCACCCATACTGGAGAAACCCTAATGCAAGCAGAAACAGATTCCGTGTGCAAAGTATGGCCAGAATTGGTGCGCACCTCAATTTAACAGTAACCACCATCCTTCACTTCTTGACCGGCCCGCATGCTAAAGGGGCTACAATTTGCTTCAAGAAACAAACACAACGTCATCGATTGGATACCTTCGACTCGTCTGCTCATCCACACATACCTCCTGCAAGCACACTGTAAAGCAACAGTCGTTGTAGTTTTTGATGTCTAGAGCTCAGGATCTCAAGTTGTGGCTTGTCGCCAACGGCACTCCGGGCAAGCTGACCGGAAAGATTCTTCGTTCGACTGGACAGGTCCACAGCTACGCTGCTAAACTCACTCGAAGCCGGACCTCGCACACGAGATGGCAGTAATTTGGCGAAATTGTCAGTCAGTCGAACCTTCGCAGGCAAGCCTGCGATTTCTTATGCCAAGGGGCGTGTCTTCCATGTTGACCACCTTCTTCTGCCATTTCTCTCTCCTGGCATGACAAAGAGATGATTCGGCAACTGCGATGATATCAGTAATGCAACAAAGCTGCTTGAACGGGAGCTGCGAGGCACGAACATGAAAGTCACAAGTGGGAAGCACAAAGAGGAGACAGGTTTGACGGCTCTTCGAAGCAAGCTCCAGCACGTCAGCAAGCGATTTGATAGCGAAAGGCTTGACCTGAAAAAATGCGGCACCGGTGCCTGCCACGGCCACGCTTGTCCTCCAGACGTAAGGCTTCTTGATCTCATGATGGTTATATCTGCAATTCTTGGTCGCGGGATGTCTGGGAATGGCAAGATGTACGTCATCATTTTATACAGACAGCATCGGCTACTGCACTCGATACTCGATGTATCTGCGCCGTCGGCATTCGGATTACGTTTAAGGGGGTCTTTGCAAATAACAAAAGCTCGGGCGCGGAACCCCGGACATCGCTTGCGCCTCAAGGACCAGCTCACCCCGCTTCCGCCGGGAGCTGAGGAGGCGCACGAAAGCCTGGCAGCTGAAATCTATCCGGTCCGGTGGTTCCTTTCACATTACTGCTCTTCAACTTTGCATGTCCATCCCGCTCGAGCACTTTGATGTGGCACAAGCAATAGCTGCAGGGCGACAGGTCTGGGCAACAAAGGCTCTTCGTTTCGATGGGCTAGAGAATAGGTCTCTTTCTTTCTTTCTGCTTGCCGGGCTAGGGGGCCGCCCGCCACTCCGCGATACTCACCGCTCGAGAAGACACACAGGCTCCCCTGAAGTGTATAGCTTCAGGTCAACCCCGTGTCTCCCCCCAATGCAGGGGGGCGGTACCAAAGCAAGGGTGCAGCACTTGGGCCAAAGTGGAGACAACGTCTGCCTGTGTCTCTCTCTCTCACTCTCTCGCGTCAGCATGCGTAAACATTCCTCACCGGGCGCCCCGCGACGAAGCTCAATTCCGAAACCCGTACGCCAGCGTCCCTCAACTTGCAGGTCAGTAGAAGCTCCGGACTCGAGCTAGCAGCGAGCAAAGCCGAATCAAAAGAGAAACAAAATACCCTCGGGCCCTCAATGACAAAGACGAGGCCTTGAGCCGGCCCAAGACATTTCCGTCCTGCTTGTCAGACGAAGCTCTCTGGGATATCCAGTCGACCCGAATGTCCGAATGTCATTCCCCAGAGCTTTCTTGTCCTGTGTTCCACTAGGGTCGAACTCCTCGAGCACTCGTGCGAGCACGTCCGGATCCTCATGGAATTCGTGACTGCGCAGCCTATGAGCTAGTTCGTGCCCCTGCTGCAGGCCATGCATTTCCGGCACTGCGTCTCTACAAGTGCAGGCTCCTTCAAACTCTCCAGGTAAGCCCCGGTTGCCAGGTCGAGATCCCAACGTGCCACAAACCTGTGCACGGCCCGGAAGAGCTCCAGAATCAAGAGGGCTCAGCTCCTACAAATTTGGATTCTGACGGATTTTCTGTCTCTTTTCGGGATGGCCGAAGAGACCTCGAACCTGAAAGCTCCAACCTGCCGGAGACCCTGGTAAGAACCCTCGGGCGGCCGTAGGTTTGACTACGGGGGTCCCTGTCAGACCTTGGTTGTAGTCGAAGCAGCTCTGCGACTTCAAAGCCAAGCCACTTCAAAATGGCGTCACGGGTGGCCCTGTCTGCACGCGGCTGCACGTCGTCATAATCGTAGCTATAGTCATCGTAGCGATCATAACCACTTTTGCTGTAGTATTTGTCGTAGCGGGACGAGCTGTCCCACCACCGAGCCTGAGTCAACGCCAGGAGTTGTGCCCTCCCACACCAAACCGAGCAAACACAAACCCACTTCGAGATGCACACGTTGTCCATCACCTGGGCCTCCTTAGACTTCACTCTGAATGTGCAGCTGCCGCTCGCACAAACTAGTCGAAGACAAGCTGCTATTTTCCACAGAAAGCTCCTGAGACGAGCAGATATGTTGCCTCAGCGTTTTTATCAGGCGCTCTTGAACTGAGGGAGAATCATGGACAAGATCTTCTGGCGAGCTGCCATCTCGAGTTGTCCACGGGTCAAAGGTGGTGAGGCAAAGGATCTGTCCTTCTTCTGGGAGCCGTTTCATGGTAAAGATACAATCCTCAGCTCAGCAGCCATGCTCGAAAGCTGGTGCAGGAGATGTCGCCCAGTTGTTCACTTAACAGGTGAGCAACATCTTCAAGCTCATAATGCTGCGCCCACTTCCTCCGCACGTAGCCAAGGAATCGCCCCGTGACGTTGCCATCCCGGGTGTTGCTCGCATCGAAACCCTGCAGCACCTGTCAAGATTGTTGAACTCAGGACACTTGCCACAGGGAGAGATTATGCAGACCGCAAACATTCAGGAGGGACAGCAGGAAAGGAAAAAATCCGAGGTGTGGCTGTGCACATGCTCGCACGGGCCAAGGGTTTCGGTGGTCCGTGCAGGGAAGGATTGGCTCCCTTGTCTCAACCCGGGCCGGGGCCCGAAATCGACTCTCTCTCTCTCTCCCTCCCACCTCGATGAGCACCTCATCGGGCAGCGCTTCTAGAACCTGCAAAGCCATGTGCAGCCAAGTTCAGGGAACCTGTGCTCCTGCCATATTGAATCGTCTGGGGAGTGGCAGCGGCAGACGGAAGACGACGAATACAAAAGCAAAACACAAAATAACACAAAGCTAACCACGCCGAATATACCCTAATACGAACAAAGCCAAACCCTCGGCCACAAAAATCCGCGCCCGAAGCAAAGCTGAAATGGGTTCCGATTGCCTGGCGGGCCGAAGCTTCCAGCTGCCAGTGGTGCACGAAAGCCTCGAGCTCTTCAGGGTCTCGGAGATCCTGGCGAGGGTCAGCTCTCTGACAGCTTTGGTGACCGAGGTGAGGGCTCCAAAGCCTCGAGCTTCGGGTTAGGCATCCCGTCAAAAAAGGCGGAAAAAACGCTGGATCCTTGCGTTAGTTGGTCTTTGAGTCGGTGAAGCTACAGTCCGCTCACTGCTAACACCTCCGCTCTGCACTGACATCAACATGCCCACAGATGACCTTTGGAGCACGCTTCCAGGCACGGGCATATGCGAAGCTGTAGAGCCGCGCTGAAACGTTCCCGTCCTGCGAGGCTTCTCTGGAACTGAGATTCCAAACAAGCGCTGGGAGTCGGAGGCTAGTGAAGCTACAGCCTACAGCCATGCATCTTGGCGAGGGGTCGTGCCGAACAACACCCTTCTGCACGCAAGCACTGTTGCTGTGCATCGCATTTTGGATCACATGGGGTGTAAGCATGGCAGGGTGCCTTCGCTGTCGTTGACAAAGCTGACTGACTCTTAGAACCCATAGCCCTCCAGACTGAGCTGCCTTGAGCCTGCGCGTGTCCTTCGTGCCTCGTGGATCGAACTCCTTGAGGATGCCAACCTGCACAGTTATAACATGGGTGTCAGTATTTCGTAGGCGAATAACTCCAGAGTGCGTGGGGCAAGCGGCTGAAACGTAGCCTCTTAGGCCTGGCTCGGCTCTTGTCTCGTAAAAGGACAAAGCGCAAGGACGCAGCGCATAAGGCGGTGGGCATCGCTTATTATATCGTCAGAGAGCAAGGCGTTCTGAATCCCTGGCCCTGCTGTACACCTGCTGATTTTCCTCCGTACCATGTGAATGCAACGACGACAGGCGAGAGGCAGCCCCGTGACTTTCTCATGAGATGCTCCATAGGGATGCCACAGTGCAAAAACCTCCGGCCTGGATATCCTCGGGGAAGTCCCTGAGGAACTCGGTCACCTCTCCTTGGAAATCACAACCGACCCAACCAGATGATGATGATGATCTTGGAGCTGTACACCGAAGAATTGAAGGTTTCGCCTCTTTGTTCAGGGTTGGACGATAAGCCTCTGCCGAGCAACTATGA